ATAAAATATTATAATTAGTTAGGTTGTGATAATTTTGGGTGAGTAAAGTGAAATAATAAATATTTGAAACTTTGTTGTAATACTAATTTTGCTTTATATGAGAAATTATTATTTTTAATCTTATCATATGGAAGGGTTTTCTAATTTTTTTTTCTAATAGTACTTTGAGGTGCATATTGGTAAAAAAAAGAAGAAAAATAGCGTAAGGAAAAACAATGTGAGGTACTTTTTGGTAAAAAAATAAATTGAGCTACTTTTTGGTAATTAACAATAACTGAGGTATTTTTCGTTTGAAAAATAAATTGAGGTACTTTTTTGTAATAAAAATTAAAATGAGGTCTAGAAAAATAATTTGTCGTATTATTCCATAAAAAAAAAAAAATCAAGGTTATTTTTGTAAATAGAAAAACAATTAGGTAAGGATAAATAATTTGAGGTATTTTTCGCTAAAGAAATAAATTGAGGTACTCTTTGCAAATTAGAATAAACTGAGGTATTTTTCGTTTGAAAAATAAATTGAAGAATTATTTGGAAATACATAATAAAATGAGGCAAAAAAAAATTTTTTGAGGTACTTCTGTGAAATAAAAAATAATATCAGGTAAAGAAAAATATAATGCGGTATTTTTGCAGAAACAAATAAATCGATGAACTTTTCGCCAATAAAAAATAAAACTAATTCGAGCTATTTTTTTGTTGAAAGAATAAAAAGATGTACTTTCTGATAATAAAAACAAAAATCAGGTAAAGAAAAATCATTTGCGATTTTTTGTAAAGAAAATAAATTAAGGTACCCTTTGGTAAATAAAAAAAAAACTCAGTTATTTTTTATATTAAGTTAAAATGGGCTACTTTTAGGTAATAAAAAATAAGATGAGGTAAAGGAAAATAATTTGAAACCTTTTTTTTGATAAAATATAAATCAGGGTTTTTTTTTTTGCAACAGAAAATAGAATGAGGTAAAGAAAAATAAAAATAATATGATGTATTTGTTGTGAAAAAAATAAATTGGTATGCTCTTATTTGTAATAAAAAACTAAAACGAGGTAAGAAAAAATAATTTGTGGCATTTTTTGATAACAAATTAACTGAGATACTTTTTTGTAACAAAAACGAAACTGAGGTATTTTTCATTTGAATAATAGATTGAGATACTTTTTTCCAATAAAACATAAAATGAGGTAAAGAAAAATAATTTGAGGTGCGTTTTTTTAAAATAAATAAATTGAGGTACTTTTGGCAAATCAGAATAAACTGAGGTATTTTTCGCTGACAAATAAATTGAAGAATTATTTGGTAAAAAAGAATAAAATGAGATAAAGAAAAATAATTTGAGGTATTTTCCTGGTCAAATAATAAATTAAGGTAAATTATGGAAATTAAAATAAACTGAGATCTTTTTCGTTTTAAAAATAAATTGAGCTACTTTTCAATAAAATTAATAATTAAATATGGTAAAGAAAAGCAATTTGAGGTATTTCTTTGGTTAAAAAAAATAATTTGAGGTGCTTTTCGGTAATTAAAATAAACTGAGGTGTGCTTAGGTAAAAAAGATAAATTGAGGTACTCTATGGTAATTAAAATAAACTGAGGTACTTCTTGGTGACCAAAAAAAAAGATGAGGTAAAGAAAAATAGTTTGAGATATTTTTTGTTCTGGAAAAATAAAATGAGGCAAAGCAAAATAATTTGATGCATTTTTTGTAAAAAAATAAATCGAGGTGCGTTTCAGTAATAAAAAATAAAATGACGTAAGGAAAAATAATGTGAGGTGTTTTTTGGTAAATACTAATTTGCGCTACTTTTTTGTAATTAACAATAAACAGAGGTATTTTTCTTTTGAAAAATAAAATGAGGAACTTTTTTGTAATAAAAATGAGGTAAAGAAAAATAACTTGAGGGGCTTTTCTCCAAAATAAATAAATCGAGGTATGTTTGGCAAATCTAAATAAACTGAATTATTTTTCGTATACAAATAAATAGGTAAAAAAGATAAATTGAGGTACTCTATGGTAATTAAAATAAACTGAGTTAAAGTAAAATAAACTTGAGGTATTTTTCTTTTGAAAAATAAAATGAGGAACTTTTTTGTAATAAAAATG